CTCAGGTTGGAAAGATATAGCCCTCAAGAGAAGGCTGGAAGAATAGGAAATAAAGATGTAGGGCCCTTCTGAGAAGACAAGATGGTCCCAGAGTTTTACTCTGCCCAAGTAACCATTTATCTAGAAACCCCAGTGGCCAGGTTGAGCCACAGTGATCAGCTGTCCCCAGGCCACGGGCAGTAGGAGTGCAGGGCCAAAAGTCTATGCTCTGAGATCAGCTGGCATGACATTGGAAGCAACAAAGAATATAGAGATGTTATCAAGGAGGGTCTACTAGCTGTTATCCATACTGTATTAACTATTTTTTTCTTATTTTTGTATTCCTGATGCTCTGACCTTTGGGGCCTTGATCCTGGGGAGGTTCTACCTCCCAGGGTTATCTAATTCCTATAGAAAGCAAATTACTCCCTTCTAAGGCACCTTTGATAGACAAATCAACTGGTACAGAACCCATATCCCCACCTGGCTCCTCTAAAAAAAAAACTATCACACCCCAAGCCAATATTTCCCCTGCCCTAAATCACCCCAGAGCCAGGTACCCAACAAATAGGGACCACCCTTATAGTCTTCAGCCTGCCAAAATTATTCAAATGAACCAATCTTCAATTTACTCTGAACACTTACCTTGCTTCACCTGTTTCTTCACTAAAAAAACACCAGTAAAGGCTCCAGGCCATGCTCTCCCCTCTGGTTCCTCTCTACCTATGAATGACTCTGGTCTTCCTCATGTGGTTCTGAGTGCCATAATGTGCCATGCCTCCTAATTCTAGAGATCTGTATCAACCTCTTCCTTCTTAACAGTCATTTCCATGTCTGTGTGCCTTACGACACCTGATAAAAACAAGTCCCAGGTACAAATTTTAACCCACATACTTGACAGCGAAACTGGAACTAGTATCACATGAAATGGAAGGATTGGAATTCAGCCTAGATACATGGTGTTGGGAACAAAGGTCTAGGGAAGGTCAAATGTTGGCTACCTAAAACACAGGCCCAGGCCATGGTCAGACTTGCATCAGTCCCTTGCAATGCAAGTTTTTAAACCAGGCAGTTTGAAGTAAAACATCAGATGAGAGACTTCTAATTTTCCACCTGTTAATGAATGACAAGGGGATCCCTGGGTGGCTCAGGGTTTGGCACCTGCCTTCGGCCCAGGGCATGATCCTGAGGTCCTGGGATCGAGTCCTGTGTCGGGCTCCCTGCATGGAGCCTGCCTCTCTCTCTCTCTCTCTCTCTCTCTCTCTCTCTCTCTCTCTCTCTGTCTCTCATGAATAAATAAATCAATAAATCTTTTTTAAAAAAATGAATGACAAGTTTCCCTCACCTCTTATCTGCATTTGATTCTTGCATAATCACCCTCACCTCCTACCCCAGCTAGTCCCAGGGGAGTCATTCAAGGACTCATCAGGAATTAAGACTCCTCAGAGATATATGCTCAAGAGAAGAGAGTTAGGTTTCTAGTTTCAGCAGTCCCCTCTCACTGGCAGGGCTGACTGTGGCCCAGTTGGTGGCAGATTTTTTTAAGTAAATATGGCAAAAAAGTAAAGTTCAAAAAAAGGCATAAATCCCCTGTTTCAAAATAAGAAAGGCTCTAGCTAATAATAGTACTAATAATAGTAATAATAGCAATAATCCATTGAGTGGATGTCTGTGCCAGAAGCTATGCTGAGACATCCTCCATTAATTCTTAAAATGTTCCATAGGCATTTGAAGAGGCTCTGCCTAACTGGGTGCCCCTACTTTGTTCCTGCCTCCATGTGGACCTGCCTTGGCCATAGACTCTTTAGGCCCTGTCGGACCCTCCAGGAAAACGGGTCCTGCAGGGTCTCTGACTTGAGCATGTGCTCTATCACGTCTTCTTCTTTCCTCCTCTTTTTTATTGTAGGGGAATGAAAAGTGAAAGCACTTGGGGGTGGGCAGAGACATGCTGTCTTAATAGTGATCATTTTTTTAAAGATCTTATTTATTTATGATAGACATAGAGAGAGGGAGAGGCAGGCTCCATGCCGGGAGCCCAACGTGGGACTTGATCCCGGGACTCCAGGATCAGCCCTGGGCCAAAGGCAGACGCCAAACCACTGAGCCACCCAGGGATCCCTTAATAGTGAACATTTCATTTGAGTAAAAACTTGAGAGTTGAACAGCCTGGGTTCAGATTCCAATTCTACCACTTCCTAGCTGTGTAACATAACCTCTCTGTGCCCGTCTTCTCCCAACCTAATAAAATGTAAAAGTAAGATCAAAATCTGGATAGACAGATACTTATAGGTTAAAACGTCAGCTAAACTAAGAAGAACATAAATCTCATTCTTTGAAATAGAACAAATTATTAATTGTGCAAAACTCCATGTTAGTGGAGTAGGAATTTACAGAATTGCCATGAACCAGGTTAAATAATACCACACAACAGCACTTTGATAACCTTTCTCTTGGAAATTTGCTAATGGCTTAAATAAAGACTGAGGAATCTCATATAACCAAAATGATTATCATGGCTTTTGGAATATCAGGATGAGCACTGGGTGTTATTCTGAATGTTGGCAAATTGAACACCAATAAAAAATAAATTTATTATTAAAAAAATAAAAATAAAAAGCAAAACTATTTTTAAAAAATATTCTTATGTGATTTGTAATACCCTTTTCTTAAATAAAATGTGTCCCGAGCAAAAAACAAAAAAACAAACAAACAAAAAAGGAATATCAGTGATAAAGAGAAGGAGGGGAGAGAAGAAAGGGAGAGGGTAGAGGAGGGAAGAGAGAAAGAATGAGAGGAAAGAAGGAAGATAGTAAGGAAGGAGAGGAGGAAAAGGGGAAAGGAAAAGAAAGGTTGTTATCTATAATCTGTCATCTGCTTTATTCAATTTCACTGTACTTTCTTAAATAGTATATAAATAAACTTCATGATTGTGATTTCAATGTACTTCTTGGAAATATTTTATATTGAAGTTTTCTCTCTTATAAGGTTGCTTTTGTGTAGGTGATATCCTGTAAAATGATTTCAGAATTAACCCCTCTCTCTCTTAATGGAAAAAAAAAAAACCTCATCTATAAAATTTGGTTCTGATATTAAAGTAGGCATCCAGCTTAAAGTAAACTGGCTTATTGAAGTACTTTCATAGATTCAACATTAAATATTGCCACTTCTGGGATCCCTGGGTGGCGCAGCGGTTTAGCGCCTGCCTTTGGCCCAGGGCGAGATGCTGGAGACCCGGGATCGAATCCCACGTTGGGCTCCCGGTGCATGGAGCCTGCTTCTCCCTATGTCTCTGCCTCTCTCTCTCTCTCTCTCTCTCTCTCTCTCTCTGTGTGTGTGTGTGTGACTATCATAAATAAATAAAAATAAAAAAATAAAAAAATTTAAATATTGCCACTTCTGCAAGATAAAATTTGAATATCAGTATTAGTCAAGATTGCCATGTATCGTGTAAATTATAGATTTCTAACCCACTGAACCAAATAATAGGTATTCAATTCATAGCATGGTAGAAGGATTTGATAAAAACCAGAGCTATTTTTGTTATCAGATGAGTGAGTATTCTAAATGTTTTTCCTAAGGACAAAATATGCTCCTCCACAACAGGATAAGAGCCACTCTAAAATGAGAAGTCGATCTCACTTGGATGCATTTTATTGGAAACCACTCACCAGGGGTCAATGCCTGCTCCAAATGGTTAGAGAACTAAACAGACCGTGATATGTCATCACCAGATTCCATTCAAGGATTAATGGCTCCAAAGTACAAGATGCCTCTCTAAGTCTTCCTGTAATATTACACCCAAGAGTGACGTTTCCCACCATTCCAGTCCCCTTTGCACACCGAGGGTTAGAGAACGGCTCTTCACAAGTCTCAGAAGAACAGGGCACATGGATAATCCAGTACATGTTCTAAATCATCACTCTTGGTTCAGGCCAAGTCATAGTACTCATGGGACAAGCCAAAATAGGAGCTTGCCTGCCTTGGAGCAGGTCAGAATTTATTTAGAGCTATCTCCCACAAGTGAAGACGGCAATGTGGCTGAAAAGATGTTGTCTGATTCTACTACTAATTAGGCTTAAATGACCTTGAAAGGCTCAGAGATTTCTGTAATTCCTCCATTCCATACATAAAAGGCTGCAACAATAAGATTGTAGGACAGTGCCTGTAGCCTTCACAAATCAAAGCTGAGGAGTCAGGAACAGAGCTGTGAAACTTGAGTTCTGGATTCTGAGGAAAGGAAGCACTTAAATGTCAAAATTATACCAAATCCTCTTCTGGGAGATACCTTCCCTCCTTTGTTCCCTGCCATCACAAGCTTGCCTCATATGTAGGGATGTTGCGCTGATCGTAGTGGCCCCAAAGTAGTATTCAGATCATGGTGAGTGAACAAGACAATGCTGTAATATGGTAAGAAAATACAAAAACTTCATTTTGTTACTTATTTTAGATCTTCCTTTTAAAGTGCTTATATTGGGGGATCCCTGGGTGGCGCAGTGGTTTAGCGCCTGCCTTTGGCCCAGGGCGCAATCCTGGAGACCCGGGATCTAATCCCATGTCGGGCTCCTGGAGCATGGAGCCTGCTTCTCCCTCTGCCTATGTCTCTGCCTCTCTCTCTCTCTCTCTCTCTCTCTCTCTCATGTGACTATCATAAATAAATAAAAATTTTAAAAAAATAAAAAAAAGTTTTAAAAAAAATAAAAAAAATAAAGTGCTTATATTTGTGTAATATTTATAACAAAATTATAGAAAGGTACTGTATCCATGGAACTTACAAATAAATGAATACTCACACAAAAAAAAACAAATAAATGAATACACATAATTGTAGATGTGCGCTCAAAACACCATCTTCTTATGGCAAGAATAATGCAAATGATGGAGAACACTGATGGATCCAGATTCAAATTTTATTTGTTTGTTTTGTTTATTTATTTATAAATTTTCTTAGTTAACATATAGTGCAATATTGGTTTCTGAAGTAGGATTCAGTGATTCATCACTTACATACAACACAGGTCTTTTTCAATGAACACATCCAGAATCTACGATAACCATAGGTCCTGGATTGCTTGTGGGAACTTTTTATCAAGAGATAGTGAGGCCACAAATACAATCTGAAAGAGATGTTTTATCAAACTCTGAAATTCAGGAGCTCCATCAGCCTGCTTCTGCATTACAGTCCAGTTTGTGAATTATTTTCCCTCACTCTGTTGCAGAGACCACACAGATTTTCAAAGGAACCTTAAATCAATTACTATGGTTGTGTCTGATAATACAGAAAGATCAGCTTCAGTTAAAATAGAAAAGAGAGAGAATGGAGCAATCACCAAACCTGTCATGGCCACAGGGCTGCAAGAGTAAATAGTCCTCAACAGTAGTACAGGGCAGCCTCCTGTTGGAGAATGCTCAGCCCCAGATCTCTTTAAGTAGGTGCAGGAAGCTGCAATGTAGGCAAAACAGGTTGTATATTGTGAAAATTTTGTAAGGAAAACCAACCTACAGTTGTACATGTAGCAGCCATGAATAAAGCTTAATATTACAGTGACCTAATATGGTCACATGGATTAATACAGAGCATTTTCAGGTTGTAAATATCAGGGTTTGACTCCTGAAGTCATCATTGGTAAGGAGCACTATTACATTTTTGTGCTTTTTTCAGTCTTACAGGTTTACCACTGGAATGGCCAAGTAATGGGAATAATTCTATATTCTTCATAGGTGGATTGGACACAACTACAGACAAATTTTATTCTTTTCAAATTTCTTCATGGAAATATCTGAGGAAACATGAAAAAGTGTTCCTGAAATGTAAACATTTTCTAGGCATAAAAGAATGATGTTGACAGTATATGATTTTGACAATAGCTTCATATAAAAATGAGAGGAGAACATCAATGCAATGATTTGCATTTTTATAGAAATTTATAACTTTAAATTATTTTTGAAATAAAGGAAACATTCTGAAGATAGTAGTTTTATTTGCCAACTTTTAATTTGGGGATTTTTTTTTTGTTTTTAAAATATTTTTAATTGAAACTCCAGTTTGTTAACATACAGTGTAATACTAGTTTCAGGTGCAGAATTTAGTGATTCAGTACACCCAGTGATACAACACCCAGTGTTCATCACAAGGGCACTCCTTAATCCCCATCTCATCTATTTACTCTATCCCCTGCCACTTACCTCCCCTTTTATAACCATCACTTTGTTCTCTGTAGTTCAGCCAGTTTCTTGGTTTTCCTCTTTCCCCCCCTCCATGTTCATTTGCCTTGTTTCTTGAATTCCACATATAAGCAAATTTTTTAAAAAACTTTATTTTTATATATGAGGAAAATCCAGCAGAAGATACTCTTTGGGATAATGTAAAAGAGTTCTGGGAAAGACAATAATATACTCTCACTGATCAAGTAATAGGACTAGATATAGTGACAGGACTAATAAGCAGAGAGGATACTGCAAAAATATTTGACAAAATTAAATATCAGGTCAATATGCCTGGAGTGCAGAACCATTGATCATGCTCACAAACTAGTATATTAAAAGTCTTAAATGGCAGACAGAGCAACTTTAGAGAGCCATTTTAGGTATTGATGTATCTGATAGCAATTATCAACAATCTGTGTTGAAGACAGCATCTTTAGCTATCAGTGCTTGTCACAATGAAGGAAGATGTAAAAATAACAAGTTGAAATTAATTCTGGCCCCAAAATTAGTCACTTTGGGTCATAATACCAGGCATGGAAAATGGCTGACCCAATGCACAGTATCTACATTACCATACAATTTACTGCAGTAGAGACATCATTATTTGACACATTCCTTGATTATTAACACATTGTGGTACTCATATATGCTTACCAGGATTAAGGTAAATGTCAATAAAGTAAAGGCATGAAATGTTTGTAACTTGACATCACAGCAATTTCCTGAGGGGTTCTGAGCTGTGGTTTTTAAACCAAAATGAATTAGTCTACCATTTTTCTTTCAAAACTGCTTGTAAATATCCTGAATGCTATTCAAGCCACTCCATCCCTATAGTGTTTATATAACTGTTTCCTGGTGTATTTAATTACTGCCTTTCATGAAGGATTGGATTCTGTGAAGTGGTGAGAGTGAGAAGGTGAATCAAGCTATTTAGAGATTAAAAATAGAAATCTTGAATAGAAATTCCAGTATTCATTGAAGTTGAAATCTTAACAGGCAAGATGGTAGAAGAGTAGGGGTCCTCAACTCACCTGGTCCCAGAAATTTACCTAGATGATTTTCAAAACATCCTGAACACCTACAATTTGGTCTGAGATTTAAAGAGAGAAGAGCTGGAATGCTACAGAAGGAAAAGTTTTCCTTCTAACAAGGTAGGAAGGTGGAAAAAAATATACTAAAAAGAATAAAGTGGGAGGGGTCACTGCAACTAGCAGGGCTAAAGTGGAGCAGCGAAAGCCTCCAGGACCAGAAAGCCCAGTACTGGAGAAGCAGGATCCTTAAAAATCCATGCCGGAGTTTTCCCGGATGGAAAATAGCTTAGCATGGAAATCAGGCAAATCCCAGGAGGGGAAGTGAAGCCTCAAGATTCCTGGAATCAGAGGTAGGGGGCAAGATGGCGGAAGAGCAGGGTCCCCAAGTCACCTGTCCCCACCAAATTACCTAGATAACCTTCAAATCATCCTGAAAATCTACGAATTCGGCCTGAGATGTAAAGAGAGACCAGCTGGAATGCTACAGCGAGAAGAGTTCGCGCTTCTATCAGGTAGGAAGACGGGGAAAAAGAAATAAAGAAACAAAAGGCCTCCGAGGGGGAGGGGCCCCGCGAGGAGCCGGGCTGAGGCCGGGGCGAGTGTCCCCAGGACAGGAGAGCCCCGTCCCGGAGGAGCAGGAGCTGCACCAACCTTCCCGGGCGGAAAGGGGCTCGCAGGGAGTTGGAGCAGGACCCAGGAGGGCGGGGATGCCCTCGGGCTCCCGGGACACTAACAGACACCTGCGCCCGCGGAGAGTGCGCCGAGCTCCCTAAGGGCTGCAGCGCGCACGGCGGGACCGGAGCAGCTCGGAGGGGCTCGGGCGGCGGCTCCAGGGAGGGGGCTGCGGGGCGGGAGCGCAAATCCAACAGCGCAGGCCCCGGAGCACAGGGCGCCGGGACACAGCCCAGGATCCGGCCTCCCCCGGGACAGGCAGAGGCCGGGAGGGCCCAGGACAGCGAGGACGCTCCTGCCCCGAGCTGAGCAGATCAGCGGCCCCGCCCCGGAGCCTCCAGGCCCTGCAGACAGAGTAGCCCCGTAGTTCCTGCGGAGGCTGAATCCAGGCTTCCAGAGTTGCCATAGCAACTGCGGCTGTTCCTCCTGGGGCCTCACGGGGTAAACAACCCCCGCTGAGCCCTGCAGCAGGCAGGGGCAGAGCAGCTCCCCAAGTGCTAACACCTGAAAATCAGCACAGCAGGCCCCTCCCCCAGAAGACCAGCTAGACGGACCAGTGATACTCCCCCGTGTTCCAATACAACTTGTTTTTGGCCACTCTGCACTGAGCAAAATGACTAGAAGGAAAACCTCACCTCAAAAGAAAGAATCAGAAACAGCCCTCTCTCCCACAGAGTTACAAAATCTGGATTACACTTCAATGTCAGAAAGCCAATTCAGAAGCACTATTATACAGCTACTGGTGGCTCTAGAAAAAAGCATTAAGGACTCACGAGACTTCATGACTGCAGAATTTAGATCCAATCAGGCAGAAATTAAAAATCAATTGAATGAGATGCAATCCAAACTAGAAGTCCTAACGACGAGGGTTAACGAGGTGGAAGAACGAGTGAGTGACATAGAAGACAAGTTAATGGCAAAGAGGGAAACTGAGGAAAAAAGAGACAGACAATTAAAAGACCATGAAGACAGATTAAGGGAAATAAGTGACAGCCTAAGGAAGAAAAACCTACGTTTAACTGGGGTTCCCGAGGGCGCCGAAAGGGACAGAGGGCCAGAATATGTATTTGAACAAATCCTAGCTGAAAACTTTCCCAATCTGGGAAGGGAAACAGGCATTCAGATCCAGGAAATAGAGAGATCCCCCCTAAAATCAATAAAAACCGTTCAACACCTCGACATCTAATAGTGAAGCTTGCAAATTCCAAAGATAAAGAGAAGATCCTTAAAGCAGCAAGAGACAAGAAGTCCCTGACTTTCATGGGGAGGAATATTAGGGTAACAGCAGACCTCTCCACAGAGACCTGGCAGGCCAGAAAGGGCTGGCAGGATATATTCAGGGTCCTAAATGAGAAGAACATGCAACCAAGAATACTTTATCCAGCAAGGCTCTCATTCAAAATGGAAGGGGAGATAAAGAGCTTCCAAGACAGGCAGGAACTGAAAGAATATGTGACCTCCAAACCAGCTCTGCAAGAAATTTTAAGGGGGACTCTTAAAATTCCCCTTTAAGAAGAAGTTCAGTGGAACAATCCACAAAAACAAGGACTAAATAGATATCATGATGACACTAAACTCATATCTGTCAATAGTAACTCTGAACGTGAACGGGCTTAATGACCCCATCAAAAGGCGCAGGGTTTCAGACTGGATAAGAAAGCAGGACCCATCTATTTGCTGTCTACAAGAGACTCATTTTAGACAGAAGGACACCTACAACCTGAAAATAAAAGGTTGGAGAACCATTTACCATTCAAATGGTTCTCAAAAGAAAGCAGGGGTAGCCATCCTTATATCAGATAAACTAAAATTTACCCCAAAAACTGTAGTGAGAGACGAAGAGGGACACTATATCATACTTAAAGGATCTATCCAGCAAGAGGACTGAACAATCCTCAATATATATGCCCCGAATGTGGGAGCTGCCAAATACTTAAACGAATTATTAACCAAAGATAAGACATCCTTAGATAATAATACACTTATACTTGGTGACTTCAATCTAGCTCTTTCTACTCTCGATAGGTCTCCTAAGCACAACATCTCCAAAGAAACGAGAGCTTTAAATGATACACTGGACCAGATAGATTTCACAGATATCTACAGAACTTTACATCCAAACTCAACTGAATACACATTCTTCTCAAGTGCACATGGAACTTTCTCCAGAATAGACCACATACTGGGTCACAAATCGGGTCTGAACCGATACCAAAAGATTGGGATCGTCCCCTGCATATTCTCAGACCATAACGCCTTGAAATTAGAACTCAATCACAAGAAGAAGTTTGGAAGGACCTCAAACACGTGGAGGTTAAGGACCATCCTGCTAAAAGATAAAAGGGTCAACCAGGAAATTAAGGAAGAATTAAAAAGATTCATGGAAACTAATGAGAATGAAGATACAACTGTTCAAAATCTTTGGGATGCAGCAAAAGCAGTCCTGAGGGGGAAATACATCACAATACAAGCATCCATTCAAAAATTGGAAAGAACTCAAATACAAAAGCTAACCTTACACATAAAGGAGCTAGAGAAGAAGCAGCAAATCGACCCGATGCCCAGCAGAAGAAGAGAGTTAATTAAAATTCGAGCAGAACTCAATGAAATTGAGACCAGAAGAACTGTGGAACAGATCAATAGAACCAGGAGTTGGTTCTTTGAAAGAATTAATAAGATAGATAAACCATTAGCCAACCTTATTAAAAAGAAGAGAGAGAAGACTCAAATTAATAAAATCATGAATGAGAAAGGAGAGATCAATACCAACACCAAGGAAATACAAACGATTTTAAAAACATATTATGAACAGCTCTACGCCAATAAATTAGGCAATCTAGAAGAAATGGACGCATTCCTGGAAAGCCACA